TCGAAAAGTCAAAATTATGACAACAGAAATCAGCTCAGTGGCTGCCTGGGGCTGGAGTGGGGGAGGAGGTGGAGCTGAGCAGGAGAGACGTGCAGGGTGCAGGAGCGGTCTGCGTCTTGGGCGTGGTGGTGGTCACACCTGTAAAGAATTACCAAAATGCATCAGCCTGCACGCTGAAAATGGGCGAACTTGATTGTATGTCAATAATCATCAAATTTAAATTTTAAGTAAAAAAAACCCTCCGCACCTAGATACATCACAGGCACGCTTGTAGAAAACGATAACAAGAATGTCTTGAAGGCAGCCAGACGCAACAGACAGAAGGAAGCTGGAACGACAGCAGACTCCTCTTCGGAGACTCTGTACTCTAGAGGCCAGTAGAGTAAAATCTTTAAAGTACTGAGCGGGGGAAAAAATGACTCAGAATTCTACGGTCAGTGACACGATGTTTCACATGCGAGGGCGCAATAAAGACTTTCAGACAAAGAAAGGTGAGCGCATTCGTTGCCTCGCCGGCTGGCCTGTGTTAAGAGAAACCCCCAAGCAAGGTGCTGAGACGGGAGGAGCGGGGCGCCAGGTGGAGACGCGCGTCTTCAGGAGGAATGAGCAGCGCGGAAGACGGTAGGAAGGCAGGTGAACAGAGGCCGCGCAGGTGCGCGTCGGCGCTGCACAGGTGCGCGGCGGAGCTGCAAGCAGACCCACGCCCCCAGGTGGCCAGAGGGTCTCTGCGGGCGCCTGCGCACCGCGGACGCACCAGGTGCGGCGGCGGCCCGCTGGCTCCGAGAGCTGAGAGCGGGGCCCACACCCTTGGGTCCTCTGCGCCCCGGGCGCGGGGGAGGCTGGCGCCCCCTGTCCCTGCGTCACAGGAACAGAAACTGAGTCTCCGGGAAAGCCAGCGGCAGAAGCCACGTGGGACAAGAGGCGGGACCGGGCACTTTCCACGCCGCGCTCCTGGGGTTAGTGTCTGTTATCCTCGCGCAAGGGGCGGGGTGTCGCTCCCATTTCCCTCGGTTTCGGAGAGCGGGAGGCAGGGAGGGCCCGGGAGGGAAGCGGCCGCGGCGGGATGG